CTGAACGAGAGAGAAAGAGAAAACGAAACAAATAGCCAGTCTACTAGACAGTAGAGCTGGAAGGATATTGATTAAATTAGAGAAATTGTGCGTTCAAGTTCACACCTTTTCAACAGTTTATCTCACCTCGGTCCCCCATTAGGGATAGGGATTTGTCTTCGACATTATTAACAACTTGGGAGTGCCTCAAAACATCCGTTGCTGTCACATCTTGGGTTTTCCCGGACTCGCCAAGCAGACAATGGTGTTGCAAGGTGGCTGATAGTGGTCAAAGGCGGTAGTTCTAAATAAGGCGGTAAAAGGTGGTAACTAAGGTGGTGAAAGATGGTAACTAAGGCGGTCGAAAGGTGGTAATTCAGGTGGTCGAAGTCGGTTGGAGGTGGTTGAATTCGGTGCTAGCTAGGTGTGGGTGTCCCCGAAAGGGATGGTTCAAGACGATGCAGGAAATATAACAGGTAGCTTTGAGGCACCCCCCAGGGTTGTCAAATAGAATTTTTTACTCTCTGCTCGTTTGTGTGGTACAGTACAATATAGTACATGTACAGTATACGTACCAGAGGCCAGGAGGCTGGAAGGAATCTGTGCTATTCGTTGTACTGGACAGGGATCACGATTATCAACTGTGATACTTACAAAAAAAGAAAAAAATGGTCTTCCCACTAACGCATATACTTTTTATCCCGCATGAAAGACAAGGAGATAGTGCCGCCTCCTTGGATGGCAATCTAGTCCGAAAGCTTACTACCTGTGGCTACAGTTTTTCTATCGTTGGCCTCTCCGTAATCTCTTTCCATCGCTTCCCTCTCCGCGATCAAACTGTCATCATTGTCGTCGTTCAACAAAGCTTCTCGCATCAAATAAAAGGTAATCGGGCATTGATGGAGAGTTGCAACAAAAGCATTCCTGGCAACCAGTCCGTCACCTGCAGTTAAACCAGAGTCTTCATGGATCAAGCTCATGAATTCGTGAGAATGTTCGTATATTTCGAAGAATCGCTCCCATAGCTTTCGTTTTCAGAGTTCTCCTCTAAAGGAACTGCTCCTATGTCAGTTTTCAGCTGATCAAGCGCCCCCGGCGACAAGTGCCCCAGGACACCCTTGAGTAACTGTAGGATTTCGGTATCCACCTCTTGGGTAGCGACTTTGCGTTTTTTCTTACTGCCAGCGGAGTTGGAGTTTCCTTTACTTTCCAGCGACGAGGCACACTGTTGATCGCTGCGCCTGATTACGTGCAGCGGTGGCTGTTGCTCATGCCCTCCAAGGGCATGCCGCAAAATGCTTTGTTGGATTTCCAGGGAACGTTCACCAACACTCTGTCGAGCCTGTTGGAAATTGGCCAACTCTTCGGGGTGGCTTGTTTCTAATGCGTCCTTGATTGTCGACCAAATTGTTCTGAAACTATTGCCTGTTTGCGCAGCAGTAACCAAAAGGTGCAACGTACGCTTTTCGTCTTCAGAGAGCCGAACTTCCGGTAGGCTGAAAATTCGGGAAACCTCTTCCTTCAGTGCTGTTAGTGAAATAAAAATCAAGATGAGACCAGACCGACGGCGAGGATAGCGTCAATGAATCTGATACGAGAAAATCTCCGTACCTTCGTCACCATTCAATTTAATCTCTTTTTCTGGGGTTACTCTCCTTACGTTACAGACTACGACTGTGCAACAGCTTCCAAATGACAAAGAGTCGTCAAAGCTTTCCATGGACCGTAGGGTGTTGGCCGCACTGGTTGTTGGCGTCCTTGATCTTGTTGTTGTGTTGTTGCTTGCTGTTGGTTGGTAGCGAGATCGCGAACGTGATACATGTATTGTATTGCTGCATGTCAGCGATACGACTGTACCGGTACCGGTTTTGGAGGATGGAAAAAATTGATTTGGGGAAAAGGTGCGTCTTTTCTCCTGTGACCGAGCGAGTGATACCATTGCTAGCTAGACCTACTAGCTACTACCACATTGGAGAAAATCATGAGTACTTGTTGCTTCTATGGCTTGATGAGGAAGGAGCTGTCGTCTGCGAGTATATGTGGGATACCATTGACACTGAAGAACTATTCCAGGAGGGCATGGCGGCATTTCAGACATTGCTTGATCTTCCTACAAAGATTATCCACGCTGTCACTGAGGTTCCCGTTACGGATTCGGGTCCTGTCGAGTGAGAGATGGCGGTCGTACGATGTGGCAGTCGAACTGTTCGAGGAGATTGATTTAGGCTTTTTAAGGATAGTGTCCTATACTTCATAGATCTTGTGAGAGTACATATGTTCGATGAAGTCGTAGGGAGTGTTAACTGGAAGGGGGCGGTACCAAGGCTTGGACTTGTCACAGAGGAGTGTTTCATTGGCACGGATGATGGAGAGGGATATAGGTGTAGTGACATTAAACGACTTCCCATGGGTCTTGACACTGGGAGCACTCAACAGGGTGCTCTTGATGCGGTTCATGACAATATCAGCTTCTTCGATTGTTGGTTTCGTGGAGGGAAAGGTGTCTAGGAACCGGACCATGACCCTGACGACAGCCTTAATCTTGCGGTATCTGCAGGCCATACGGTTGTCCACCTTCGGGGTGCTCTTGTAGGAGCCCATGAAATTGAATGCGAAGAAACTGATTAAAACAGTTTGGGGATTGATGTTTCTAGTAACCTGATCGAGAAGGGCTTGGAGAGGTTGGACGCCAAACACTTGCTGAAACGGGGACAGAGCGTAGTCTTTACTTGGTTTGGTTGTAGGAGTGGAAGAGGTTGGGGCGGTGGCAACCGTTTTGTCAATGAGGTTGGCTTTGGCAAAGAGGTCTTGACATGATGATTTGAAGTTGTTGAATTCAGCTAGGCCGATATCTTGTTGTGCAAGGTGTTGCATGCGGGTGGCAACAAGGATGTGATTGCTCGGATCCTTGAACAGACCATTTGGCTCTGCACGGATGTGCTGTACAAGTTGGTCCCACTTGGATAGAACACACATCAGAAACATTTGTTTTGATTGCAGGCTGAGCATGTCATCAGGGAGGTGACCGAAGAAGGCTGCCAAGACCTTGTCACCTAGATCTTTCGAGATAGAGTCGTAGGAGGGGATAGTAACATTCTGGTAATCTCCACTGTTGACTTTGGAGTAACCTGCAAGGGCTTTTGCACCATCCAGAAGATAGGGGAAAGGATTGGAAAAGTATTCTGCACGAGCCCCTTCTCCAATGTTCCAGCCACCGAACAACTGAGCGGCAATGTGGAGCTTGTTCCCATCGAGATGCCATTGGGCGGTGTGTTTCCCGAAATGGCTGGTCCCTTTTCTCGCAGTGCAGTTCTCAGCTGGAGGGTACCTCTTCCAGATAGAGTCAAGAGTGCTTTTGTAGTGGGCGGAGACGGCTGAATCTCCGGTTAGGGATACGATTGATGGCATTAGCACTTTGTCATTACGGAGGAACAAAGCCAGACCAATCGCAACCGGGAGGTCACCAAACAACTCGTACTTGTTTGGAATTAGGGGATGGTTGTTGTCAACCCCCATCTTGTCGCGGACAAGAAAGCATTGGAGGATGTGGTTGAGGGGGCCTTCGTAAACCTCCCTGACGGAGAGGTTTTGCACAGAGAGACGAGAGGTTTCAGTGGCTCTGCTGCAAAGCCGGAGGGTTGCAGTCTGAAAGATGAAGAAATCAATGTACTTCTCCAAATTCATCCATAGACACCGTACGAGGATGAAGGCGATCTCGGCGTTGGTGTAAACTTTCTGCTTGGACTACGGTGATGCTTTCTTCCGGTCCTTGACCTTTGCTTTCAAGGAACTGAAGGCAGAGGCATAGGTTTCTTCAATAACTTTCAAGTACCGGGATAACATGAACTTCTTTGTCAATTTGTTCTTGATAGACGGCATGTAGCGCTCCAGGGTACCTACTGAGTAGGTGCTTCCATTGGCTTTTTTGAGGCTGAACCAAAAGGCTGGTTGGTCTTTCCAGAAAACAAACCACCACTTTCATGATTCTCAGAAAAGGAGCCGCCTGTCTCAGTGAGATCTTCATACTTGATATTGGGCAGGCCGAGTTGATGCTGAAGTCGATCCAAGTATTGTTGGATCTTGGAGGCGGTGCTGTTATGCTTGGACTGACATGACTTGGATGCTGAAGCGTAGAAGTCAACATTAACTTCTTCGAGTGAAGAGGAGTTCGATCCTAGAGAGGCCATTGTCAAGGTAGATCGAGGGTGTCGGCGGTTGGGGGCGTCCTTTACTAGTCTCGAAAAAAGTTGAGATTGTGAGAGAAGTTGCGACCACTCCTTGGAAGCACTCCTTGGAAGGATCCTGGAAAGGGGACGGGGGACCGAGGTGAGGATGGGTTGTCAATTGGTGACATGATGAGGTGTTATAGTGGGCAGAGACGCTCCTAGCTGCTATTGCTAGCTAGGGAGTGGAATCAGAACTTTCCAAACCGTCACATGCTTGGTTATTAGAGGACGGTTTTTAGCTCTCAACTAACTGTTGACTCGGTTTTGGAAAATGGCGCGAACTGCGTCAAATCTACCAAAGTCCGTCCAATGCAGAAATTTCCTTGCCTCCATCGGCATACAGCCACTCGTTCCATTACAGCCTCCAAACTCACTGTGGAGTTAAAGACAGATGATACTGCCTTCAAGAATCAACCCAAAAAGGAAGATCTAGCCTTTGGGCAAACCATTTCGGTAAGTAAAAGACTACCCAAAAACTGTTCCATGGAGAGTTTCTCATAGATAAGGAATCTTGTCTTTCAAAATTATATTTCAAAAGGATCATATGTTAATGGTTCCCTGGAGCGTTGAAAATCAATGGGGAGATCCCAAAATTGTGCCTTACGAGGATCTCAAAATTAGTCCAGCCGCTTCTTGCCTCCACTATGGTACGTGCAGGTGCAGGAATGCAACCAAAGATCAAACATTAGAAAAAATTCTACAGGACAGTAGTTCCCCTCAAAAAATTCTCTTTTTTTCTCATGCTCATCCACCGTTCCTCTTCCACCTGATCAGGACTGCAATGCTTTGAGGGAATGAAAGCCTACAAGGCTCTTGATGATCCCAACTCGCTCCACTTGTTTCGACCCCACAAGAACATGGAACGACTCACGGGATCGATGGAACGCCTCAGCATGCCAGGGGCCGACTTTGACAATGGCGAATTGGTAAAACTCATTGAAGAACTCGTCAAGGTTGATCAAAAATGGATCCCTCGGGGGGAAGGATATTCTCTCTACATTCGACCCACGGTCATTGCCACTCACCGATTTCTAGGTATGGCGCCACCCATCGATTTGCTGCTTTTTGTCATTACCAGTCCGGTCGGGCCCTACTACAAAACTGGATTCAAACCCATTCGGTTGACCTGTGATACACCCTTTGTCCGCGCATGGCCCGGTGGAACCGGAAATTCCAAAGTGGGAGGCAACTATGGACCCACCATGAAGGCACAAGCCGACGCTGCAGCACGACGATACTCGCAGGTGTTGTGGTTGTTTGGAGACAAAGAAGTCGTGACCGAAGTGGGAGCCATGAATGTCTTCTTTTTGATTCAAAACAAAGAAACCAATCTACCGGAACTCATCACGCCCCCTCTCACGTCGGGAGATATTTTGCCCGGGGTGACGCGAGATAGTATCATTGCCTTGGCCGAGACGTGGGATGACTTGACAGTTGTAGAATGGGCACCCACCATTCATGAAATCAAGGAGGCGGCCGAAGAAGGACGACTCTTGGAAGCTTTTGGAGCAGGGACCGCTGCTGTGGTGACACCCATTGATTGCATTGAATACAAAGGTCAAGACATCAATGTACCCGCAGATGGCAAGTTGACACAGCGTATATGGGATGCAGTGACTGGTATTCAATATGGACGAAGAGAGGGCCCCGAGGGATGGTGCCATAAAATTCAGTAGGTGATGAATGATTTCTAGCCAGCAACATTTAGAGATATCTGACTCCTTTGACTTGCACAGCATGTCCAATCGTTTCCCAATGGCTCTGTTCTGTACAGGTAACGTATGCAATCATAGCTGTACCTGTAGAAACTGAAGACGAACCTTGCTCGAGTTGGACTTGCTTGCAACTAATACTGGTGCTTCTGGGGACAAACATTCATATGAGCCCACTCCACAACTTCAGAATGCCCATTTGGAGTTGCAAGACGACATGTCGAAGAATCCCAAGGACAACCATGCTCTCTTAACCAAATCAAGATTTCAAGATGTCCATTCCTAGCAGCCCCAGCACATGTCCGTTCATTCCTTGGCTATTACGGTGGTATACCGTACCTAGTAGCTGCTAGTATCCAGGAAAACATAGCTCTCTCGGATTGGGGGCCTGCCATGGTGCGTTCCCGAGGGAGGTTGATCCTCTTTCTGGCCACCGATAGAGACTTGAGGACCATTTTGAATCAAATAACCAGTGTACAGCGTAACAAAAGGCAAAAGGTAATCTGGATCTTGGTTTGGCGGGTGTTGTTGCAGTTGGCTTTTTCTAGCCAGTAGAGGGACATGTGTTGGTCCCTGAGTTGGATGTTGTGTTGGATAGTTAGACCATGGACAAGGGCCTTGGGCCTGGTGCGGGGCCATCCGGTATGATTCTGGTACCGTTGCCAGGCGTAGAGTGAGAACGGATCTTTGTCCATGTGGTGCTTTGAAATCATACTACCAGTAGTGCTGCACCAGGATAGTATTGAATTGATTGCTATCCATTTACTTTAGTAAATACACACAGAACAGAGCTGGGCACAGAAATGAGCCGACAGTCTGGGTTGGTTGTGGAGCCTTTTGCAAGACAGAAGCTTCTATCTTGGCGACATTGTGACACTTTGCGTGAGCTTGGGCTGAAAGCGGAACGCTTTTTGAACCCCGTCGAACAAAGGAGCAAGTGAGGGTCCCTTGACATGCATTCTTCTTTTTTTGAAAAGGCGGCTGGGTTCGCCCGACGACTGAAGGCTTCCTTTCATGTCACCGCATTGCTCTTGCTTGCCATAACCAATTAATTTTCATAGCTTTGGCAACCTGGTCTTGTTGTGGTACGGTACCCATCGCCTCCTTCCACTTCGAACAGAATTTTGAACTACACCAGCAACTAGTTAGCCCATCTAAGCTTGGAGGAGTCTTTTATTGAATCGAGAGAGAGAAAAAAACAACCCGTCGAAACCCGTCCATCATTCGATCTTGCACCGTGGACAGCTATTTTCCATACTACTACAGTTTTATATAATTTTCCCAACAATAAGCAAGCAAGCAAGATGGCGTTCAATAAGATGTTTGTGATGCTTCCGGTCATGTTTGCGGCTCGGAAACTGGACGGAGAAGACCCAATGGTTGTCTACTACCTTCGCATTGCCTATGGAGTCATGCAAGGCCTGTGCGTGCTGGTGGTCCTTTACACCTACCTCAAAGCCTCTTCAGCGGCATCACAATATACCGATCGAATCATATATGTTCCTCCTCCTCCAACGGTACGTGCACCATGCGTGACCCAGAAAGCTAACATGAAGGAGGATACGATTGAGTGACTGCCAAGTTGGTGTTCGCTCGATGAAGTCAAACGCACCGAGTGCTCTTCTGTCCCTTCTTCATGTGTTTCTTTTTGAATCTTCGACTGTGTCCAATAATGGTTTTGTGACGACTATTGCATTGATGCTTGGCTGTCTCTTTCCTAATGCAAAACAAGATGGGAGTACTAAAAATGCACCACTCACCCTTTCTCTTCTAATCTATTCGACCAAATGATTTGCATCCATCATACCAATACTACTGTAACAATCCACAACTGGTACTTACACAAAACAAACAAAACAGCCATTTCAAGATCCCAATGCCTCCAAAAAAAAGTACACGGAAGCCAACTATGGTGCTCATGTCTTGAGCACGGCACGGTCCTTGTTGGGCAGCACTCTGTTTGGTCTCTGCTTGACTGTGGGGTTGCACATTTACAAAGGAATGGTCGTGGGTCTGGCCATTCAAACCGTCATGGGACCTTTCAGTTTGGCCGAAAACCCATTGATCCGAGCACTCCTCTTGGGCACGGGTACTATTGACCCTGCCGACAAGCTATTTGACGAAAAAGACGCTTCCGAACTGACTGCAGATGACGAAGTGGTAGATGAAAGTGGAAATCCATTGGTGCGAAACAATAGTAATAAAGCCCTGAATGGAAACAAGGCCGCAAAGAAGGGTGACGAGAAAGAAGGAGAGACTACCCAATCATCGACAATGATGACACTGGAAGAAGTCATGTTGGATACCTGGGATTCTGGTGACTCGGCCGATATTACCAATCTCATGACCACACTTACAGAACAAAATTGCAACACACAAACCACGGATGACAAGTGGACACCACTCATGGTACTGGCAGGATTGGGAAATGTCAAAGGGACTGCCAGTGCCATTCGTCAGGCCATTGCATTGGGAGCCAACCCGGCCATAACGGACAAGGAAGGATGGAATGCCCTGCATTGGGCTGCATTCCATGGGAGTCCGGAAGCCGCAAGGGAGCTGGTCAAGGACATTTCCTTGCTGGATGCTACCGACAAGGAAGGCAGGACACCACTAGAAGTAGCCAAGCAAGAAAACAACAGTGTGGTAGTCAAGGTTCTGGAGGAGGCAGAGGCGGCAGCCGAAACATCAGAAGATGCCGACGGGCTGCGAAAACGGAAATGAAGAATTCAACACCTGCACCTATTTGTACTTCTGTGTCAAAGTAAGCAACGGGTTACATAAAGAGTTGACTATATAAAAATGAAATCTGTTTAGTAAAAACATGGCCAGCGATTGAATTGAATGACCAGGTCAGTGAAGTTTCTGGAATTCAGTTGGCCGCTTCTTGATCTTAGTAAAGGGAGGAGTTTGGTCGGCTTCAAGTAAGGCAGTGCCGTATGGCAACGACTTGGGCCGCGCGCCTACCGTATCGGCATTGTACAACTCGATGGTCTGGCGGTCTCACACTGAAGATTCACCAGGTCTGGGATGGAGAATCGGCGCTACTAGGCACAGTCCAACCGTGGCTCCCTGCTGGCAATGCTTGCTTCCTTCAAGCGAGGGGCCCGTCGTCGCATCAGTGGGAGAGAATGGCGAGCTAGCTAGATTGCGAGTCATTCGAAGGCGCCAGACATGAGTAAGCACGGAGTATCCAAAGAATAGAATGTCGAATTCTTAGAGGAAAGCACAACTGCATTCTTCGAGAAGCGCTTGATTGCTCCGCATTGCAGTTGCACTACTGCGATGCCAACATTGCTCAGCGGGCTAAAACCATTCATCTCTTAGTGGACATGTTGCCTCCGATTGAGCATAAACGGAGACTCGACTCGTGAGGGTCTGCATTTGCGCCACTTTTTCGTTCATGGAATGGGCTTGGTTCCTCCCACGCTACCTAGATAGCCTGTTCGTTGTTGTTGCCAGGCCCCTCGCTACGACGACTTTTCCTTTGCACCCGCCTTGTACCAGCGGATAGCGAGAGCCACGAGGAGTGCCACTGGCAGCACGACAAGACAAACTTGGACCACTATAGCGAACGCTCTCAAGCTGGAAAAGAGAGCCTTGAGCTTGGTGGCATCGTTCACAAAGGGATACGGCTCATGAGATGACAAGAGGCCATGACAATTCTGCTCTACATCCTGGGAGACGTTCGCCAGAAATTCACACAAGGGTCTCCATCCATCTGCAGCCCGAAAGATGAGGAGATTCTCCGAGGGTATTGTGTCTATCACTTGCTGGTTCCAGGGATTGTAAAAGCCAGCCAGTTCGTGGCTGTTGTGAAGCGGGAATTGCACCTCTCGATACATGGCCTCCAGATACAATCTGGTCTTGTGAACGACAGGGATCCAGCGAAAGGGAACCGACTCGAGGATGGGGATCTCCTTAAAGATGGTCGCTGTCACGCTATTGGACCATGCTTCGGCGGCAACTGAAGGCTCTTCACTTCTTACAGTTAGTACAACCTTCGCCTGAGGGTATCTTTTAGCAAGATCCTTGTATTTGAACGCCATGGGTACATCCACCGTTGCGCTATAGCCAGAGGCAACTATGTGATCGACAAGCCCGTCAAACGACAAAGTGTGATCCACGAGGTGCTCATGCCATATGTCCACATGACCCTGTGAATTTCTCATGACGAACATGTTGTAACAGTGTAAACCCAGACGTTCCATGGCTTCCTGGAAGCTTGCTGTTCCTGTTCTGGGCAACCCCGCCCCAATGACGAGCATCGGCTGTGGCGGATCAGACACTGACGACTTGTTGACAGCAAGCTTGCTGGCATCGTCGACAAAGGAACCGCCAAACATATATCTTTTGAGTACACCCAGCATTGTGGGGTGTAAGTGATGCTTCTTTGGCCGTGGATTAGATTCCCCGTCTTTCGCACCAGTTCTTGCAGATTCGTCTGTACCGATCGCGCTTTCTGCTCTGCTACCGGTGATGTTGCCATCACTTCCAATATCTGGGCGTACGTTAAGACGCATCATCGTGGCATGAAAGTCTTGGAGGCAATGGATAAAGACACTGTTGCGGAGGACGATGAACAACAGCTTGCCCTTCTTTCTTCAAATGATCTCCAATGAAGCAAAGCCGACGGCGTGGGCATCAACCTTCGTTAGCCGGATCTTCAGCTCTCGACGCTGGATACTGTAGGATCCTTTTGCAACACTTCTGGAGCCACTTGCGCAGCCATCAGCTTCCACGTTTTTGTTAGGTTTGGTTGCCACGCAACGAGGGGTCTCCGACGACATAACGGTTTTGTTTTACTAGAACGAACTATGCGTACAAACCACTCGTGCTCTACTAGCTAGCTACAGTAGATCTAAACCTTTTTTCCCTTGGAGATCCGAGAAGAGTCGAGTCTCAATCCAGTGGCTGCGCCCAAGTCTCAATTAACTAACACATTCTAAACTTAAATCCACAAATACCGCTGAGCCCAGCCTCGCTCCCCAAAGCAGGCTGGAAGTTCTGGAACACAGAACAATTGCTGAAATTATTCTAATCTTTGCTGAGAATCACTCAAACCATCCTGGTAAATCTGAAATCTGGACAGATTCAGCAAATTCAGCAAAATATGAATCCAAGAACAGGTCGATGGGCATGTGCCACCCGGGCCCACACCACCCAGCTCCTAACTCTGTCCAACTCCAGCCCTCGAAGAGAGCCTAGGGTCGAGCAACAGGACCAACACCAGAGCCATCACTACTACGAATGGTGCGGGAAACAACTGGGCCTTGGCTCGTGGGTCGTCCTCAAGCACTTCTGAATCAGTGAATAGATTTTGATTTTGACTTCTACTATGCATGCATGCCCCTGGTAACGGTAACGCACAATGATTTATGGTAGGTAAATATCTATGCTTGGCCCCAATCCTGGTCTCGCATTTGGACCTACTCTGGCGCAACCCTTGATCCATCTCACGGCCCAAATCATGGTCCCGCCTCTGGACCCACACCAGGGCCAGCCAGATCCGGGACGTAAACCAAGCCCAATGCCATCTTAGACCGACTCTTGGACTTAGCTCCCCTTGGTGCGTCTACCTTGACGAGGGCTAGTAGCTTGACAAATGCCAGGACCTACTCCCATGCGATAGCTGTTAAACAGGTCCTAACTAAAAATTGGTATCTATTTGGTGGAACGGTAGTATCAGGCCGATGATGACATCTAGCTAGCTACAGTAGTAGACATCGACGGCGAAATCGAATTCGTGCCGGCACCGTACTAGCTAGTACCGCAGACTTCGCTCGGTGTGACGACGGAAAACTTCAGTCCCGCTGTCAGCGCTGGTTGATCAGAGTTTGTCGTGGGAGTGGCTTCGCTTCATGGGCTCAATGGGCTCACAAAAGCAACAAGGATTGCAATCCAACTCGAAGCCAAAACAGCCTCTAAACTTTCTCGCAATAGCTACAACAACCAACACAAAGCACCTCCGAAGTCGCTCCGCCAGCTAGTACAGCATCCAACTCCCAAAGAAGAAGCAAAACAAGTCCTGGACACAACCACAACTAAAGACGCCACCACCGACCATGTATTTGCTGATCGTCTTCTTCGTCGCCATTGCCGCAGTGGCTATGAGCGGGTTCATTAGCAAGAAACAAAGGCTGCAATAAGGGACAGCAGAACGATCCGCGGAATCGCTCCGATTGGTCTGGACTTTCTTATCCTTGCTAGTTTAAAGATACTTTGTATAGCAAGAAATCTTTATAAAAATGGTTTGTCTACTCTTCCTTTAACGATTCGTTCATTGTTTGTCATCCTTTTGCCTTTCAAAAATACTATCAATCCTTTGGGAATTCAAAGGGGACTGTTTCGTAGGACGAATCTTCCCATCCTTCCCCGTTGACACGGTCGGCCTCTTCATCGGGAGCATCCCGAATCTCAGCCAGGACTTGCAACCAATCACTGGCTCCATCGTCCATGTCCAAATACCCATTCATGGCTTGCTGCCCGGCGGTGAGACGGTTCAGTTCGTCCCCCACCGTCTTTGGTTCTTGTTGCAATGCCGAATCAAACATGGCTTCACCGTCTTTGTCGCCTTCATCCACATCTGCGCTGTTTACCGCTTCCAAGGTGACGTCCATGGCTTCTCTGCCAGCTTCGAGTTTCGTCAGTTCTTCATCAATAGTTGTTGTTGGTGTGCCTTCTTGTTGCTCTGGTTCGTCTTGGCCTTCACCATTGGCTGTCACGTCTTCACCGCCGTCCGATTCCATCACGACGGCTTCAGTGTCGTTCATGACTCCTCGACCGTTCAATTCTGTCACCAGTTCTTCCATGAGTTCTGGTGGCAACGTCACAGACAAGGTGCCATTATCGCCCAAAACAATCTTTTCATCCAGTTCGGCAATGGCTTCTACTTCGTCGACGACATCCACTTCTTGTTGTTCCGGAGTAAGCGTTGTTGTCGCATTGTTGTTGTTGACTACGATCTCTGCAACTGCTTCCTCGGCAACGGCACTGGCAGATGACGAGGGGCTAGGTTCCGGATCTTTCGGTGCCGGCACCGCTGCCGTATCATCTCCCCCACCGATTGCCACGAAAGCCGCACCTGCCAATCCGACAATGCCCGCGGCCCCAAGTACAAGTCCGCCATTGTCGCTGTCACTGTCGGCGACGGCCCCACTTTTCTTGGCCGCATACGCTGCCGCGGCCGCTTCCTGTTTGGCCGCGGCAGCTGCCGCCATTTGTTCTCGTTTGGCCCGTTCTGCCGCTTCGGCCTGTTCCTTTCGTTCTCGTGCGGCCTGTTCTCGCGCCAATGTTTTTGTTTTTTCTTCTTGTCGGCGCATTTGTTCTTTGGCATCCCGTTCGAGTTTTTCCTGTTCCCGCTTGGCCTCGCTAATCTGTTCCTTTTCTCGTTGCGCCTTTCGTTGTTCGGCAAACGCATTGTCAATTTCGCGGCGTTGTTCTTCTTGCAATTCTTCCTTGACATTGGCCACTTGTCCCTGCCGTAATTTGGCCAATTGTACCTTTCCGTCTTCAATCATGGCCAAGTATTTTGGATCGTCCTTTCTCTGGGCGTACTGTTCCAATACGGTGTCACGATTGATTTCCAACCGCACTTCACCGGGTGCATAGTCCAAACAATGACATTCATTGAGTGGAATACCGGCAATCATGGCACTGAGTAATGCCGGTCCAGTGCCATCGGGAAATATAATGAGAATATTTTCGCCACTGGTTCTCGATTCTTGCAACGACAGAAATTGTCGCAATCGGACAAACTGATCTCCCAGTGCTTCATTGGCGGTCCCATCCTCGTTCGCGGGTGGTCGTCCTCCTTGTCCTTCCTTTCCCGCTTCCATATAGTCCAATGCGACAATGGCCGGTTTGACGGTATCCATGGCCCCACTGTCCCAGAGTCCAATGCCCCGTTGATCCAAATACGTAAATTCGGGCAACAATCGATCGCGACTAATACGGAGTTCCGTGGCCATCATATCGGCCGTGTCCATACCATTGGCGGCCAAACTATGGTAGGCGACCGTGGGGAAATTGGGAGATGCCTTGATGACTTCACACGCGTCCAATACAATGCGTCGTGCGGCGGGCGTATCTGCCAAGGCATTGTCGCGATTGGTAATAAAGAGCGAATTGGTACTGTAGACGCCATTGACTTCCAATTCACTGGGACCGGCCCGCATGAAATGATAGCGATTCTTGAGTGGTCGAATACAGGGGAATTGCATTAGACCGGCATGGGCCGGTTGGACATTGACCGAGAGACCCGTTAGTAGTGCGGCCGATGTGGTGGCCAAGAATCCGCGGCGACCGGTACTACTACTCAAAGAAGAGTCATCATGGCTGGGATGCTCATTCGTAGTGTCGCCATTGTCATTGGCAGAAGCCAAAAGAAGAGACCCACTTCTCCTGGAATAGAGACGGTTTCGTGCTCTCGTCGTCGCCGTTGTTCGTGGGGCAGTCAGTGGATGATGATGAACCTGCAATGCCGATGCTACTGGAGTGACCGGTTGATCAATAACAATAGTGGCAGCACTGAGAAACAACCCCAATAGGAATAGCCTTGTTAAGGGGGTATGAGGAGGACTTGTTCTTTGATAGGACATCATTGCTTCAGCTCTTGATGGCTGTCTTCTTTGGTGCTACCGGTACGGTACAGTACTCTGACTCAGAATGGTTGATTCACTTTTTATGGCACTCTGCTGGCAGCGAAGGAGGTGGCCAAGAAAAATCTTTTTGGATAGTCTTCTCACATCACAACAGCATTGGGATGCAGGAGCAAGAGCATGGAAACCACGAGCTCCAAGAGAAGCCATTCTTCGACTTTCAGAATGCTTGGAGTTCAGTGCATCATCATGTCCCAATCCAATAGCAAAGATCGAACGCTTTCCGCAACAGAAGAAAGCAGATGATGACATCACCCGAACCATCGATTTGATTCTTCCACAGTTCTTCGAGCTTCTAAAGATATTTACATCCGGGTTGCCTTCTCTCGAAGTCAACTTCAACATGGTGGTAAGCCAGTGCATTCATCAGGACGTCCATGCACAAGACGCGTCAGTCTGGCACTCAACCGCTGTCAGAGTGCTCCACTCGCTCTCCATCCATCCTTTTGTTCCTTCATTCGTTTTCACAAAGCAACACCCAAAGCAAAAGCAATCATCAATCCACGACGCCATGAGACAACTAAAGCACCACGAGAAGAAGCTCTTGCGCAAGGTCGACCTCTATTCTTGGAAGAAGGAAGATAACCTCCGTGTAGCACAAGTATTGCGGCGGTACCATGTGCAAGACAAGAACGATTATATTGCCTACAACCGAATCTGCGGTATGATTGGCAAGCTGTCGGCCAAACTCAAGACCCTCCAGGCGGACGATCCATTCCGTGTTGCCATGACGGAACAACTGCTACAGAAAATGCACGATTTGGGTATTATCGACACCAAAAAGTCGCTCCAAAAAGCAGACGATGTCAATCCTTCTGCCATTTGTCGACGTAGGATTCCTGTGGTCATGGTGCGATTGAAAATGGCCGAGACACTGCGGGTGGCATGTACGCTCATTGAGCAAGGACAAGTGCGAGTGGGGCCCAATGTTGTGACCGATCCGGCCTTTTTGGTGACCAGATCCATGGAGGATTATGTCACGTGGGTGGACTCGTCCAAAATTAGACGGACTGTGCAAAAATACAACAATAAACTCGATGATTTTGATCTTTTGTAAACAAGAAGAATATCTCTGATTGCTGCATACCAATCTACAATCAACAATGGACGCAAATCTTGTGATCTGGTGTGTGTGGTTCCCTGCACCCTTCGCTAATGAAGCCTTTCAGGAACCATTGTAAGCATGCACTTCGTTTTCGGATTCAGCCAAGTTTGCAAGGAACGAGCGCTTTATAATTACTAGTTGTTTTATTGGTCCAATCAATACGCATGTGCAACATGTAACTCTATCGGTGCTGTGACCGGTAGGAGCTAGATAATGCATCCTCTTCATTCATTCATCTTGGTACTGTGCACCCAAGAGTGCTTGTATCTCCACCTCCAATCGCTTTAACACTTGTCTGTCTTCAATCATGGGAGTGATGCTGTATTCTTGTCCCCGTGCAATTTTATAGAGTGTTCCTCGCAGAATCCTGCCACAAATCGTTTTCGGCAGGGCATCCACAATCACCACTTTGAGAATGGCATAGGGGCCAAATTCATCTCGCACCATATTGACCAACTCATCGCGGATCAAATCATCCTTGATTTCGCCATCTTCCTCCCAGATGGCATTCAGCTTGGCAATCAAATCCTTCTCCAGCTCTTCATGACGACCGGCATGACCAATCGTATAGCGAAGACTGTCAATCAACTGCTTGTGCAGTTCTTCATCGCATCCTTCACTTCCAAACTTTTTGACCACAAACGCCACTGGAATTTCTCCATGCTGTTCCACATTGATATCAATCACCACACACTCATCGACGGCATGATTCTGTTCGATGAGCTTTCGGACCTTGTCACATGTCAACCGACCAGCTTCCTCCGCGAGAGCATTGTCAAGATCCTTACGATGATCACGAACATCGAGCACAGTTCCGGTCGGAAGACGAAGGGAATCAAAGTACCCTGGAAACTCCTTGTCCATGACACCACCCACCAAACGATCCATGGGCGCCGACGAGAAGGGTGCCAAAAGGAGGTAGTGCGGTGTTCTCACAGTGGACGACAGCTTGGTTCCAAGGCGCCGCCCTCCCAAGATCCTCACGGCTCTGGATGTCTTTGTTGCAATGTTCATTCTGTTGTTTAGTTAGTAGCTACTAGCTTGATTTGCTGTTCTTGTTGTTGTTGCTGCTGTTGTCGTGGTTTCTATGAAATAGGTTCAGTGTTCCAAGAAATTGATGAGGAGGGAAAGATTGGGAACGTCCTTCGCATCCATCTTGACGATCGGGTTCGCTTCGCCCATGATTGAATCGAATCGAATCCAATCAATCAATCAATCTTGTTTGTTCAAAGAGCGGAGCCAGAACAACTCCCGCGGAGCGCACATCCCTCGCATGTGGCGGTGCCGCAACCAGAAGATGCTTCAGACTGTCCTTTTCAAATGGATGGA